GCAAGACTCCGTCTCAAAAAAAAAAAAATGAGCACAGGACTCCTTAGTTTTCCATTACCTCAAGTGTGTATTTATCATATGTCCTGTCTGCTTATTGCTGGCTTAATGAATATAATTTACTTTTGTATATCAAGTTTAAATTTGACAACATTGTACATTCTTATTAATTCTAATAATTTGTATTATTTGGGGTTTTTCATGTAGACAAGTACATCTGAGAATAATGACAGTTTTGTTTCCTCCTTTCCAATCCTTATTCTTTTTAGTTCTGTGGTAGTCGTAGACTAGAACCCTCCACTAATAGGTAGACAAGAGTGATGGATAGACTTTAATCTATCATTTTAAATCTCTGAAATGTTGAGATGGTTTGTTATTGCAGAGTAACACTGCCCAATCTAACTTTTTTGGTTTTTTGTGTTTTTTTTTTTTTTTTGGTTTTGTTTTGTTTTGCTTTTTCTTGAGACAGAGTTTCACTCTTGTTGCCCAGGCTGGAGGGCAATGGCGCGATCCCGGTTCGCTGCAACCTCCACCTCCCAGGTTCAAGCGATTCTCCTGATTCAGCCTCCCGAGTGACTGGGATTACAGGCATGCGCCACCACGCCCAGCTAATTTTGTATTTTTAGTAGAGATGAGGTTTCTCCATGTTGGTCAGGCTGGTCTTGAACTCCTGACCTCAGGTGATTCGCCCGCCTCGGCCTCCCAAAGTGCTGGGATTACAGGCATGAGCCACCGCGCCCGGCCTGACTAACTTATTGTGCTAACTTGCACCTCTGGTACAATGTCAAATGGAAGGATTGATAGCTGGCATCCTTGTTTTGTCCTGATTTTCAAAGGAATGTTTTTAACATGTCCCAGTAGAGTATGATGTTTGCTACAGGATTTCTTTAGAAGTCTATTATCAGCTTAAGGAAGTATCCTGTTCCTTCCTAGTTTTCTGAGAATTCTCATCATGAATGGTTGTTAAATTTCATTTTTTTTTTTTTTCTGGACCTGTTACTCACATATTCTCTTCTCCTTTAAACTTCTAGCTGATTATTTATGTTAGATTTTAAAATAAAAACTAATATAAATCTTTTGTTTGTCTGTTTGTTGTGGGTTTTGTTGTTGTTGTTGTTGTTGTTTTTGAGATAGAGTCTTGCTCTTTTGCCCAGGCTAGAGTACAGTGATGTGAACACAGCTCACTGCGGCCTCAACCTCCTGGACTCAAGTGATCCTCCTGCCTCAGCCCCCCAAGTAGCTGGGACTACAGGCACACGCCTCCATACCTGGCTAATTTTTGTATTTTTTGTGGAGATGGGGTTTCATCGTGTTTACCCGGACTGGTCTAGAACTCCTGAGCTCAAGAGATCTGCTTGCATTGGCCTCCCAAAGTGCTAGGAGTACAGGTGTGAGCCACCTCACCTGGCCTAGTTTTTCACTGCTGTTGTTGTAGTTTGAGATGGAGTTTCGCATTTGTTGCCCAGGCTGGAGTGCAATAGCACGATCTCAACTCACTACAATGTCTGCCTCCTGAATTCAAGAGATTCTCCTGCCTCAGCCTCCCAAGTAGCTAGGATTACAGGCGCCCACCACCACGCTCAGCTATTTTTGTATTTTTAGTAGAGACAGGATTTCACCATGTTGGTCAGGCTGTTCTTGAACTCCTGACCTCAAGTGATCCACCTTCCTCGGCCTCCCAAAGTGCTGGGATTACAGGTGTGAGCCACTGCGCCAGGCTGTTTTTTAATCAATGTTGAATCAACTTTGCATTTCTGAGATAAACAAAACTGGGATAAATGAAATCGTTATCTTTTTCACATATCCCTGGATTTGGTTTGCTAATGTTTTGTTTAGGATTTCTGCAACGTCAGACTGAACGGTTATTTCCCTTTCTGACACTGTTCTTGTGTAGTCTTTGTTTCTCTTACCCTGTTCTCTATTCTTCCTGACAGACTGGAATTACTTGTTCTTGGAGCATTTTGTAGAATTAGCCGATGGAACCATCTAGGCCTGGTATTTTCTTTGAGGGATGACTTTCTTGTACTGATTCAAGGTTATTCTTGTTTGTTTCTTTGTTTATTCTTGTTATTGATTTAATGGTTATAGAACTATTTAGGTTTTCCGTCTCTTCTGTCGTCTGTTTTGTAATTTATATTTTTCTAGGAATTCGGCCATTTCCCCTAAGTTTCCAAATTTATAGACATAAAGTTATTTGTAATATTCTCTAGGTATCTTTTTAATTTCTTCACATCCACATTGATTCATCTCTAGTATTTTGATTATTTACATCTCTCTTTGTTTCTTTATCAGTCTTATAAAAGGTTCATCAATTTTGTTAATGTTTTCAAATAAAGATCTTTTTACTTTGTTGATTCTGTAGATTGTAGTTTTTTTTACTATTTCATTTCTTTCTTCTCTACTCTTTATTATTTCCTTCCATCGACTTTCTTTGGATTTATATTGTTTTTCTAGTTGCTTATGTTGGATGTTCAGCTTGTTTTTATCCTTCTTTTCTAATAAAAGCATGCAGGATGATTTCTGTTTACATAAATTTTTATTTACAGCCCCCCCAAGTTTTATTTTTTAACATTTTCATTATCATTCTAATTCCATTATGATTTCATCTTTGAACCATAGATTATTTAAAAAATTTTTTTAAGTTTCTTTACATTTGAAAAGAATGCATATTCTCAAGGAATTAAGTTCAAGTTTCCTTATTTGTTTATTACTTCAAATTGTGTTGTTCAGATTCATATTCATCCTGGGTTTCGTTTGGTTGTTCTTTTTCAATCTCCCTAACCTATTAATTACTGTCATGTGTGTTAAAATCTTCCATGTGACTGTAGGACTCAACTTCTCCTTATAAAGAACTTCACCTTTCTGATTATTGTTGCCTCTATATATTGAACCTATGTTACTAGCTGCAATCAAGTTTAGACTTGTGACATATCCCTGATGAGCTGAACCTTTTATCATTACACAATTACTCTCTCATTTCTCCTAAAGCTTTTTGCCTTAGGATCTTTTTTGTTGCCTTAAAGTCTATTTTGTTCAATATTAATATAGCTATATAATATTTATCAGATATATATTCTTCTTTTTTTAACTTATATGCTCGTGTTTGGAGTTGTATCTCTTGAAAGTGGCAAGCAGCTGCATATTTTAATTAGTGTTATAATCAGTAATCCTTAAGAATTTGCTCTTGCTATCTTCTGTTCTACTATGTCGTTATCTTCCTTATCTGTTTACTTTTCCTCTTTTCTTTGCTTCTTTTGAATGAATAGGTCTCCCATTCCATCTTCCCCTCTATTTATTGAAAGTTACTGCTGGGCGCGGTGGCTCAGGCCTGTAATCCCAGCACTTTGGGAGGCCGAGACGGGTGGATCACGAGGTCAGGAGATCGAGACCATCCTGGCTAACACGGTGAAACCCCATCTCTACTAAAAAATACAAAAAACTAGCCGGGCGTGGTGGCGGGCGCCTGTAGTCCCAGCTACTCGGGAGGCTGAGGCAGGAGAATGGCGTGAACCCGGGAGGTGGAGCTTGCAGTGAGCTGAGATCCAGCCACTGCACTCCAGCCTGGGCGACTTTTTCATCATGTTGACCAGGCTGGTCCTGAACTCCTAACCTCAGGTGATCCACTCGCCTCGGCCTCCCAAAGTGCTGGGATTACAGGCGTGAGCCACTGCGCTTGGCCTACCCTGGCAGTTTTAACAAACACATTTATGTTAAGTTTCATCTTTTAAATGCTGGTGTATTATACAGTGGAAAGTTCTATATTCATTTAAAAATTTTGTTTCCAAAGGATATGTTATGGCACAGGGAAAGGTTTGCATAGCAAAGTACGGGAATATATATGGTTATGATAGATGCATGCATACACACAGCTGGCGCTCATTACTCCCAGCAGCTGTGTTCTATAAAGTCAAAAGCACTGAATGAGTGAGCACAGAACCGTTGCTCCCAGGGGAAATGCAAGGTTAGGTTCCCTGTGAGCCTCTCATCACAGCGTTTTTGTCAACGGATCCATATATCCCCTTGTTTTATGTGTGTTTATGTTTAAAGACATTATTTAATATAAATTATTGATTAATATTGATCTCATGGCCAACAGTGCTATTCTCATGGCTGAACGCTGCTGTTACACACAGTTTCTCTGTGAGGCACAGAGCAGCCTTTGCCTGCGTGGGAACACTAGACAGCACTTCGGCACCATGCTCGGGGGCCTTTCTCAACAGTGAAATTATCAGCGAAAAGTACAAAACTGTAAAGGACACGATACTCAGTAGGCCAAGTCTGAGAGTGAGATGCAGGAGGATAGAGCATTGCCTCGCCTCTGCTGGAGAAGCACACGGACACTTGTGACTTCAATATTTGCGCCACCCCGCGCATGTGTACAGAAGACCACAAAACTGACACAAGTTTTTGGGGTTACAAATACATTTTAGAGAGGAGGCAAATTTGCAAATACAGAATCCAGGAATAATGAGGTTCGTGTGTGTGTGTGTGTGTGTGTGTGTGTGTGTGTGTGTGAAGTTACATTTTAAAATGTATTTTTAGGCCGGGCGCGGTGGCTCAAGCCTGTAATCCCAGCACTTTGGGAGGCCGGGATGGGCGGATCACGAGGTCAGGAGATCAAGACCACCCTGGCTAATACGGTGAAACCCCATCTCTACTAAAAAATACAAAAATCTAGCCGGGTGAGGTGGCGGGCGCCTGTAGTCCCAGCTACTCCGGAGGCTGAGGCAGGAGAATGGCGTGAACCCGGGAGGCGGAGCTTGCAGTGAGCTGAGATCCGGCCACTGCACTGCAGCCTGGGTGACAGAGCGAGACTCCGTCTCAAAAAAAAAAAAAAAATGTGTTTTTAAAAAAACTAAAAGGGTACACACCAAATCTTTGGTAGTTCTGGACGGTTTGGGGGTTTTGACATTTCCTGGGTCGTCGGGACCATGAACTGACTTCATGTTCTAAAAGATGATTGACAAGAAGGCTCAGAATGTGGTCCTGCGTGTTTTTTCTAGCCCTGCTTTAGTGACAAGACCAGCCACCTAGAGGCTTACGTGAAATGGTTCAACAGACTGTGCTACCTGGTGGCAACCGAGATCTGCATGGTGAGTAGACAGCCAGGGTGGGCACCACCTGGCATAGCCCAAGGCGGCTGGAGTTGGGAGGAGCCTACTGGGGAAGGAACCGGAAGGACACCTTGAGTCCTGTTCATTTCCAAGTCCAGTGCCAGGCTGGGCACCCCTCCAGGACTCCAGGTGACACCAGCTTTCCTGCAGTGACATTTCCCTCCAAGTAGAACCCAGGACAGATCCACCGGCCAGGCACAGAGGGTGTTGGAGAGGGTTTGCTGAAGGAGTGAGAGGCAGTCACTCGCAGCCCCAGTGGCTCCGCTCTCTCCATCTGTGCCGGCCTGCCTTGTGCAGCCTGGCCTGCAACTGGCCTTGTTTGGCTTGCTCGGCACCTAGAGGTGGACGTGATCTGACCTCTAAGCACTGGGAGACACACGTAAAAGCCCATAGTTCCAGCTGCTCCCGGAAAGCACCAAAACTCAGCAGCGTGGAGCCAGACGTGCTTGTCACTGAGTCGCAGTCCCCCTGGCCACACCCACCCGTCCTCCTCCTTGCAGCAGAGGGGCCCTCCTCTGAACCTACTCTCTCACCTTAAGATGAAGCCCAGGGGGCCGCTCATCCCAGGGCCAGGCTGGAGGCAGCGCCGCGGCAGGCCGGGCTCTCCGCGGCAGGTGCTGAGACCGAGTATGGGGCACGTGTTCATGAGGGGTCCACACCTGCAGACAAGCATAGAGAGGAGGCAGCCCCGTGCGACGATGTGACGACAGACACGGGTTGGCCTCTGTCCCCCACCTGGCTCAGCCCCCATCACAGGGCGGGCTGCCCTTCAAAGGACAGGGCCGGCTTTGGGTGGGCAGCTCTCTGTGGCCAAGACAGCCCCTGGAAGGGGGTTTGGTGAGACATCTCAGAGCACAACACCCCACTTCTTGGTGGCGGTAAAGACCCCTGCTGCATCTTTGGTGGGCAAGCAACATCCACCTGTGTGGAAAGAATGCAACGCAGGCCCCGCTGGCCGAGCCCACTTCCCACCCTCATGCCGCTGGCTGCAGGCGAGAGGGCCGAGCCCGGGTGAAGCTTGCTTGGCCTGAGCCTCCCAGGGAGCCAGCTGTGGCCCACGATGGCCAGGGAAGGACATGGTGTGGTTCTGCACATCAGAGGGGTCTGAAGTCCCAAGCGCCGGACCACAAACAAGGGTTTACCAGTTACACAGTTGTTAGATGGAGAGAGCGGAGAGGCTGCTCGAGGGACAGGTCTCAGGGCCAGCTTGTACCCCAGTGAGGGGAGAAAGCCCAGGGCTGGGGGAAGGTGGGTGGGGCTCTCTAATTTAGGGAAGGAGCTGGGTGGGAGCCGGGCCCAGAGGGAGGAGGGCGCTGGAGGGGAGCTGTGGAGCATCTGGTGATGGTGTCTCACCTGCTCCAGGGCTACAGGGAGTGCCTGTGCCCCACCGGGCCCACCTAGCCCTCTATGGCATCGGGCTCTGCTGGCTCGGCCCATGAAGTGCTCTGAGACCCTGTTTCCCCTGGGCCTCAAGTGCCCCAGCTGTGCAGTGGGTTTAGAGAAGGCGAAGAGGGCCAGGTGACGGGAGCCTGGTCAGGGCAGGGCGGAGGCGTGTCACCGCTGAGGCTCTGCTGCCCTGTCCCCAGCCAGCCAAGAAGAAGCAGAGGGCCCAGGTGATTGAGTTCTTCATCGACGTGGCCCGCGAGTGCTTCAACATCGGCAACTTCAACTCCCTCATGGCCATCATCTGTGAGTGGGCCGGCTCGGGCCTGGAGTCCCCGGTGCACAGGCCCCCAGAGGTCGGAGCGGGTGCAGCCAGGCAGGCAGAGTGCAAGCCGGGGCCGCCTCTGAGCAGCGGGAGGGCGCGGGCTGGGCTGTCTGAAGGCCTGGGCAGTCCCATGTCCCCGCCTCAGAGGTCCTGGGGAGCCACGCCTTTTGAGGCAAGCCCAGCCCCCTCGGGATGTTTGGTGGGGGCTTGGTGGTATGTCCCCAGACGCAGAGAACAAGGGCCCAGTGCAGGTGCTCAGTACAGAATGGGACCGGCATGGTGGGAGCAGACCCACCTGACCGTGATGTCCACCAGCAGCCCCTCACCCACCCACCATGTGACAGACCGAGCCCTGCAGCCCCCAGCCCTGGTCAGGGTGCAGCCCAAGGGGTGCAGCTAAACAGAGCTCCCCCTGTCCCAGAAGCAGCCCTCTCCAACTCTCCGTCCCTCTTCTAGCGGGCATGAACATGAGCCCTGTCTCCAGGCTAAAGAAGACCTGGGCCAAAGTGAAGACGGCCAAGTTTTTCATCCTCGAGGTAAATGAGGCTGCTGGGCTGCCGAGTGCCTCCGGCCATCCCCTGGACAGAGCTGCCCACATGCCTCCCTATCTCCTTCCAGCACCAGATGGACCCAACAGGGAATTTCTGCAACTACAGGACAGCCCTTCGAGGGGCAGCCCACCGCTCCCTGACGGCCCACAGCAGCCGAGAGAAGGTGGGTCGGGGCCAGGTTGGCCCAGCGGGGCTGCAGGGGAACCCGGGTGCTGGCTCAGAGTTCACCTGCTGCAGCTCCTGCCCCGCTGCAGCATCAGTAATAGACGAGCAGACAGCCAGGTCTCCTTGTTTGCATGCCTCCAGTGTCGGGAACTCACCACCTCCCAAAACTGGAGGGAAGCCAGCCTCAGACAACCCTAACTGATAGGAGGTGCTTCGTGAGGGCCTGCAGCCGGGCTGCCTGGGGTCGTCCTTTCTTGGGGGCCACACGAGTGAGGCCACTTCGCCTTCTGCTCACCAGTTCTTCAGAGGCCCCAGGCCCCTCCTCTCCTCTCCTGAGTCAGCGGCCCCAGACCTGCCCTGCCACACTACAGTTTCCAGGCTCCTCCCACTTGGGGCCCTTTGGTCCCTAGACTGCTCCATTTTTCAAAATTCCTTCTGTTTCAGATAAAATTGAGGTTCCAGGTACACAGGATCTTCCACCTCCCTGATTCTAAACATAACACTTTTAATTTTGTGGCCTCAGATCACATTTGCATTTTTGGCAATCACTGAACCAAGCTTTTTCCTCACCCAAACTGCCTGTTTACAGCTTGTATTCTTTTTTTTTTTTTTTTTCCTGGAGATGGAGTCTCTCTCTGTCGCCCAGGCTGGAGTGCAGTGGTGCAATCTCGGCTCACTGCAACCTCCACCTCCTGGGTTCAAGCGATTTTCCTGCCTCAGCCTCCCAAGTACCTGGGATTACAGGCGCCCGCCACCACAGCCGGCTAATTTTTGTGTTTTTAGTAGAGGCAGGGTTTCACCATATTGGCCAGGATGGTCTTGAACTCCTGACCTCAGGTGATTTGCCTGCCTCGGCCTCCCAAAGTGCTGGGATTACATGTGTGAGCCACTGCGCCCAGCCACAGCCTGTATTCTTATATACCTGCATTTGTGGGGCCTTTGCTGACCTGATCAATTTTATTTCTCCTCCAAATTCTACTCATGGCCTCTGGTACAGAGAATCATGCCCTGGTTCTGGGATTGCCGTGATCCTCTGGCTTGAAACCTGTTACCATCCTGATGATTAGAGTTGTTCATCTCTATGGAGAGGAAACTCCGAGACTCGTTGTCCTTCCAAAGGCCCGTGCCATGCGGAAACATTAGTGGAATCACGTCCCTGCTGTGGTTCGTGGATGTCTGTCTCCAGCGTGAGGGATAACAGAACACATTGCTGTTCTTGAAATTCAGGTCCCCCTGGAATTGTACTGGAGGGATGCCAGTGGGCAGGTTTGGGAAGCAAGCTGAGGTGTGCACGCTTGTGCCACCTGCCAGGCCTTCCTGGCCCTCCACCCAAGGGGCAGACACCAGCCACACGGATGGCTCCGTCCTGTCCTGCTGGCCTTTCCTGTTCAGGCTGAGTGTGTCAGTTACTCTGCAGAGGGGAGCAGCACCCGGGGATGTGAGACCTCAAATCCCAGGGCAGGTGGGTGGCCTGCCAGGAGCCAGAGCCCGGAAAGCCAGACAGCAGGGGCAGGAACCTCATGTCACTGAACACCTGCCTCATTCCAGCCACTTGACCTCCACACCCCACAACTATTCTGTGGGGGCATCAGCATTGCCAGTTCCCAGATCCGCAGACTGAGTCTCAGGCAGGAGAGCTCACTAGTCCCGTCACACTGCAGGTAGGTGGCAGAGCCAGGATCACACTGCAGCCTGTCTGGCTGTGAGTCTCGCGGTCTGCACACCACCAGGCTGACTCCCGTTCCCAGGCATTGGGTGTGTGTGGCAGTCGCAGGGCACTGGCTACGGGCCTAGGCTGGATGCAGAATCGGTGTACAGGAGCTTGGTGCCGAGCTGGGCCGGGAGCCGTCAGCCATGGCCTGGGCACTCCGCACTGCTTCCTTCCTCTCTGTGGGACACGGGGCTGTGGGGCAGGTAGAGAGACTGGGATTTGGGTGCCTGTGCGCTGAGCCCCTTCCAGCTCTGCGTGCTGGGATGCTATGCATTGGTGCTGTAGGCAGGCAGCTTAGAGCTGTGTGTTTACTTTAACCACATTCTCCTCTCACTTCCAGAAAGAGATGGGTCATGGGCGAGGCCCACAAAAGCTGCTCTATGTGTGGAGGGGGTGGAGGGGCAGAGGGAGGGAAGGAAGGAGGAGGAGGAAGGGACACTTAGAGATTCGCTCACAGTTTCCTGGCGCCCCAGCTGAGTTGATGGGCCGGGAGATCTCGGTGGTCATAGCACTTTATGCTTCCTTCCTGTCTGTGGGCGGCTCCTGTCTGCCCTTCTCCCGGTCTGTGTCACGGGGCCCACTTATCTGGGTGACCTCCAAGCTGACCTGGGCTCTAATTAAACTTCTCACGTCAGAAGCAAGAGCAGTGGATTTGCAGATACAAAGGCCTCTTTGGCTGCCGTGAGGGCAAAAGGAGACCAGGTCAGACATGGGGAGCGGCCTTGAGTGGCATGGCCATGGCAGAAGGGGTGAGAGGTGCTTGCGTATGGAACATGCCACCTCTCGAGGACCAGCTCAATGCCCCTGCCTCCAGGAAGCCCAGACCAGGCCCCGGGGGAGCTTTCTGTGTGTGCAGAGCCCCACAGTCCTTAAACCCTCTCCCTGTCTTGGCGTGTCTCCCTATTCCAATATAGTTCAGCTGTCCAGAACCCACCACACCAGGACTGGGGACTCAGCACCACCGAGGGAGGGCACAGACACAGACCACCCCCCCAATCCCCCCCTACCACTGATCCCGGCACGGTGAGGAAGAGGCAGGATGGGGCACTAGGGCAGAGCACCTGGGACTCAGCCCTGCTTCCGCTGCTCACTGCTGTGTGAGCTTATGCAAGGTATTTAACCTCTCTGGGCTTCAGCTTCCTCACCTATAAAGCGGGGTCATAAGAGCCCTGCTTCATAGGACGATGCAAAGATGGAAAGTAATCCTGTGTGTAGCTCAGCAGTGAGGCACTCAGGCTTGATAAGGGCATAAGGAGCGGGCTCTTTGGGAGCAGATGGAGGCTAAACCCAGCCGGCAGCGGGATTAGCAAAGATTTGCCAGATGAGGCCTCCTCATTGTGTAGGTTACTCCCATGACTGTGTCTCCACTGCAGTGAGGTCAGGAATGAAGAGTGGTGGGGGCCTGCACACAGCCCGCCGCCTTTCTCAGGCTGGGTCCACCAGCCTTTCTTTTCCTGCGGGCAGTGGAGCAAGAAAGCTTTTGGTCTAACAGTAAGTGCATCAAGAAAGACATAGGGGGACAAGTTGTTAATTTTTTTTTTTTTTTAAAAAAAGGCCCCCTTGGGAGGCCGAGGCAGGCGGATCACAAGGTCAGGAGTTCGAGACCAGCCTGGCCAACATGGTGAAACCCCATCTCTACTAAAAATACAAAAATTAGCCAGGCATGGTGGCAGGTGCCTGTAATCCCAGCTACTCGGGGAGGCTGAAGCAGGAGAATCACTCGAACCTGGGAGGCAGAGGTTGCAGTGAGCCAAGATCGCGCCATTGCACTCCAGCCTGGGCGACAGAGCAAGACTCCATCTCAAAAAAAAAAAAAAGGAGGCCACCAAATTTCAGAACAGTTGATGCACATCTGTTCCATGTGTCTTTAACAGTGTGTGCAGCCCGGACTGCCCCTCCCGGTGCACATGAGCCTGTGGACCTTTGGATGGGGATGGTGGTAGTGGGGACCTACCAGCCCCTCCCAGAAAGCAGTGGAAGGACTATTCAAGGGTCGTCGTGACTGTGCATCTCTTACCCAGCCCCAGGACGGGCAGCAGCGCCACGGCGCCCGGCAGGGTGACGGGGGCCAGGACGGGCAGCAGCGCCACGGCGCTCGGCAGGGTGATGGGGGCCTGCTCCTTTCTTGGTGGTCCTTATTACCCTCCATGGTGCACAGGAATTCACCTCGTAACCCGTGAAGCCCCGAGGCCCCGACTAGCCCAGGAAGTCTCCCCTGCCCTCTGCACCCTGGGGTCGGGTCTGAGGTCCCTGGGGCAGCTATCTGCTGGCAAGGCTGCCCCCTGTCCTGGAGCCAGCTGTATAGAGCTGGGGCCGACCTGCCCCCTCTTTTCTTCCAGATTGTCATTCCCTTCTTCAGCCTGCTCATCAAAGACATCTACTTCCTGAATGAGGGCTGTGCCAACCGCCTTCCCAATGGACACGTCAACTTTGAGGTAGGACCTCCGTGGGGACCTCCACTGAGGTAGACAGGCCAGGAAAAGTTCCCAGGGCAGGACCACTGGCCCCTGCCCTAATGGAGGACTCTGGGGCAGAATGAGCCATTGACAGCCGACCTCGGCGAGGTTATCAGGGTCCTCCCACCCTGACATCACTGTGGCGGGGATGCTGAGGCTCAGGGTCATGTCCCTCCAGGCTGGGCCTCACGGCCAGCACAGGTGAAGCAGAGTCCATCTAAGCCCTGCAGGGGCACCAGGCTGGTGAGAAAGGCAGCTCCATGGGCCCACAGTGACAACCGGCAAGGTGCTGTGACAGGGGCTGTGCCCTGGAGGTCAGGACCAGCCCAAAGGCAGAGCCCTGAGTAGCAGGAGGAAGCTATCAGGCCAAGGCCAGAGTGAACAAAAAGGAAAGAATTCTGCTCCCTCTACAGACACCGCTGTCAGCTCAAGTGTCTCCTCCTCCAGGAAGCCTCCCTGGACCTCCCAGGCAGAGAAAGCCCACCTGGCAGGCCTCCCGAAGCACAGCAGGCTGGGCGTCCCTCCATCCATCCTCGGTCACTGCACCCGAGTCCCTGAGCTCCCGAGAAGAAAGGCCAGGCTGACCGGCTCCGTATCCTGAGCTCCAAAAGGGGCCACCCAGCACACGTGTCTCGGAGTAGCCGGGGAGCTAGGCAGACACTGAGTCAGAGCATGCCAGGCAGCAGTGGGACCCCCAGTCTGCAGGAACGAGGGGGCTCTTCTCCCACTGAGAGCCAGCCCCACCCTAGTGTTGGCCTTAGCAGTGGGTGACACAGTGAGTGTGAGGCCCCACCCAGCCTCCAACTCCAAGGGGCCGTAAGCCCTGGGCCAGTCACCAGTCACTGCCCTGTCTGAGCCTCAGTCTTTCCCTGTGTACGATGGGGCTTCAGCTGCAGCCCACAGAGGGGCTGGGGAAGAGGCGCAGCATGGCCCTCCGTGGGCTGTGAGTGTCCCCTGCAGGTGGGAACCACAGCACATGGCCAGACCCTTGGGCCTAGAGCTGCCCTCCTCACAGATGCCCCAGCAGACGCCACATGCTGCCCACAGGCCTGGTTAGCGGGTCCGAGGCCGCCTCGCCGCTTAGGTTAGCCCAGGCTGGAGGCGATGAGGACAAGATTGGGCTTAGGCAAGACAGTGCAGGGGCCCCGGGGAACTGGGATCCTCCTCGGCAGGTGACACCAGCCCAGAGCCAGGCATGGCAACCCCTGCCTTTGTCCCTCCTGAACTGATGCTCAGAGCTGAGGCCAGGGACAGGTGAGACTACAAGGTGCTTGTGTGATCCCAGCTTTGGGGAGCAAGCAGGAGGGACTGGACCTGGCTTCCAGGGCAGATCGGGGGGTCCTTGCCATTCACAACTGTGCACTGCTGTTTGTTTAAAGTTGGCAGCTTTTTAAAAAATGAAATACATGTGTTTACGTTTTACTTAAATAAAATCATACTTAAATGAATTACTTAAGTCTTAAATATACTTATTTAAATATATTTGCATAATTCCATAAATCAACAAACATGTATCACTTGCCATACATAGAGGATAACAACAAAAATAAATATGATGACATAAAACTGTGTCTACTCTTGCTCCATGCAGGCTGCAGGCCCAGGCTGCCCTCGCCCTCATTTATTGCCCCCTGCTCCTCCTCAGACTCCTAAAGTCACTGAGCGTTGAGCGAGTCTCTGCCAGGACCAGCCTCTCCCCGTCCTGGGGACCTCCAGGCTCTGGAGTTGCCTCCATTCTGTGTCTCTGTGACTCTGGCAGAGACCAGCCCCTCCCCGTCCTGGGGACCTCCAGGCTCTGGAGCGCCTCCATTCTGTGTCTCTGTGACTCTGGCAGAAATTCCTGGAGCTGGCCAAGCAGGTGGGCGAGTTCATCACCTGGAAACAAGTGGAGTGTCCCTTCGAGCAAGACCCCAGCATCACCCACTACCTGTCCACCGCCCCCATCTTCAGTGAGGATGGTAAGTGAGTCCTGCAGCCCTCCTGCCTGCTGGGCCACGGGACCCTGGGGTAGCCTCTCAGTCGCCATTCAGGACCTCTGCTCTGAGTAGGTTAGGGAGGCACCCTGCCCACCTGGGCTGGCTCCAGGAGGGAACAAGGAGGGCTCCATCCCCCCAGCTGGCCCATTGCCACTCCAGGAGCACAGGATGGGCCTGAGGAGGTCCAGGCTGGGACCTCAGGGACCCCCGGGGCCAGGCTCCTCCCCGGACACAGTTTGGACACCTTTGGAATTGTAAATCAGAACCATCTACCAGTCTGAATCACTTTCCTCAGTAAAGTGGGGGTGATGATAAGAATCACCCTCAGCCGGGCGCGGTGGCTCACGCCTGTAATCCCAGCACTTTGGGAGGCCAAGGTGGGCAGATCACAAGGTCAGGAGTTCAAGACCAGCCTGACCAACATGGTGAAACCCCCTCTCTACTAAAAATACAAAAATTAGCCGGGCGTGTGGCACCTGCCCGTAGTCCCAGCTACTCAGGAGGCTGAGGCAGGAGAATCACTTGAACCCAGGGGCAGAAGTTGCAGTGAGCCAAGATCGTGCCACTACTGCACTCCAGCCTGGGCGACAGAGCGAGACTTCATCTCAAGAAAAAAAAAAAAAAAAGAATCACCCCCCCAGAGCTTGCGTGGGGAGTGCCAAGCACGGCACTGACTGTGTAGGCGTGTACGTGTGTCCTGGTGTAATAAACACAGGCGCGAGATGAGGCCTCTTTGCTCCAGAGTGCCATTCATTTCTGTCCTCTCCACTAAATAAGCATTTCCATGTGATCATTTGTCAGATGTAAGTTTGCTTGCAAGTGTGCTAAGGGGGCAGGTCCCAGGGCCCTGCTTTCAGGAAGCAGAAGTGGTAGAGAAGCAAGTGGCCCTGTGTGCTTGAGCTGGGGTGGCATGGCCCCGTGGCCAGCCACATCACCCTGAGAGGGCCTGCTCCGGACGCAGAAGACCTGGCTCCTCATCACCGCACGCAGGGCACAGACGGACCCTCACTTAGGCTCAGGGAGCACTTTCGCTTTCTAAAAAAAAAAATAGGGGAGAAGGATCTTGTAATGATTTTGCTTTTGAATACTTTCAACTTTGCCATTTTATTGTTTATATTTTGAAGCTGGGAACTTTTTGGAGGGGGTTTCACCCGTATCTGTAGCCACCTCCCGCCACTTCCACTAAGAAGCTCAGCAGCTGATGAATAAACCAGTCTGAGCTGCTCCCACCACAGTGAGCTGTGCCATGAGCAGGCCTCATCGTCTCTAAGGCTCCCCTGCAGCATCTGGAAAGGGGGGTGATGTGAGAACTTGCTCCCCAGGGCCATGGTGAGAATGCCTTGAGTTGACCAGGCAAAGCCCATACAACTACACTCAATCCACACTAGTGTATTAGTTTCCTGTTGGTGCTGTCACAAATCACAAACTTGGTGACTCAGAGCAACACAAATTTATCCTTATAGACTTCTGGAGATCAGAGGGCTGAAATTAGTTTCTTTGGGCTAAAATCAAGGTGTCAGCAGGGCTGGTTTCTTCTGGATGCCCTGAGAGTAGCATCTATTTCCTGGCCTTTTTCAACTTCTCATGGCCACCTGTATTCCTTGGCTGTGGCCCCTTCCTTCATCTTCAAAGTGCATCACTTCAATCTCTGCTTCCATCATCACATCATCTTCTCTCCACCATAGTCAAATCTCCCTTTGCCATGCTCTTATAAGGACACCTGTGACTGCATTTAGGGCCCTCACATATAATCCAAGATATTTTCCCCATCTCCAGATCCTTCATTTAATCATGTCTGCAAGGTTCCTTTTTGCCTTAAAAGCACTGAGAGAGAAATGACACTTTACCCATAGGGGAAAAACAGTTTGAATCATGTCAAATTTCTCATCAGAAACCAAGAGGCCAGAAGACAGGGGCACATTTTTCAATTGCCAAAAATAAAGAACTGTCAAGCCAGAATCCTATATACAGTGAAAACATCCTTCAGGAATTAACAATAGATAAATCAAAATAGAATTCTAAAAGCTGTTCAGGTAAACCACAAGAAGACAAGAAAAATAAAACAGAGAACGAAACACAGAACAAAAAGAAAACAAAAAAATAGACAAAAAGGCAGACTTAAGTCCTAACATATTAATAATTACATTAAATGTAAATGGTCTAAATACCCCAAGTAAAAGAAATTGACAAAGTTGATATTTTAAAATGATCCAACGATATGCTATCTACAAGAAACTCACTTCAATATAATGATAGAGACATTTTGATAAGTAAAGAGAAGAAAAGGGCTGGACGCGGTGGCTCAGGCCTGTAATCCCAGCACTTTGGGAGGCTGAGGCGGGTGGATCACGAGGTCAGGAGATCGAGACCATCCTGGCTAACACGGTGAAACCCAGTCTCTACTAAAATTACAAAAAATTAGCCAGGCATGGTGGCAGGTGCCTGTAGTCTCAGCTACTCGGGAGGCTGAGGCAGGAGAATGGCGTGAACCCGGGAGGCGGAGCTTGCAGTGAGCTAAGATCCAGCCACTGCACTCCAGCCTGGGCGACAGAGTGAGACTCCGTCTCAAAAATAAATAAATAAATAATTGAACTGACTGAAAATATAATCAAATTTGTGGAACAGCTAAAGCAGGACTGACAGGAAATTTTACAGCACCGAATGCATATATTAGAAAAAAGGGAAAGTTTCAAATCAATAATGTAAGTTCCTACATCAAGACTCTAGAAAAAGAGGAGCAAAATAAACTCAAAGCCAGCAGAAGGAAGGAAATAAGAGCAAAAATCAATGAAACTGTAAGCAGAAAAACAATAAAGTTAGTCAAAGGGCTGGTTCTTTGAAAAGAACAATAAAATTGACACCATCTAGCAAAGAACCTCTTACAAAGAAAAGGAAAAGACACAAATTACTAATACAGTAGTGCCCCCTTATCTGTAGTTACCCTCAGTCAACCATGGTCTGAACATATTACATGGAAAATTCCAGAAATAAACAATTCGTAAGTTTCGAATTGTGCACCATTCTGAGTAGTGTGATGAAATCACACGTCATCCCACCCTGTTCCTCCTGGGACATGAATCATCCCTTTGTCCAACATTTGTGCTGTATTTATGCTGCCCGTTAGTCACTTAGTAGCCATCTCAGTTATCAGATCAACTGTCAGTGTCACTGTGCTTGTGTTCAGGTAACCCTTATTTTACTCTTTTTTTTTTTTTTTTTTTTTTTGAGACAGAGTCTTGCTCTGTCACCCAGGCTGGAGTGCAGTGGCACGATCTCAGCTCACTGCAGCCTCTGCCTCCTGGTTCAAGTGATTCTCCTCCCTCAGCCACCCAAGTAGCTGGGATTACAGGCATGAGCCACCATGCCCAGTTAATTTTTGTATTTTTAGTAGAGACGGGGTTTCACCATGTTGGCCAGGCTGGTCTCGAACTCCTGACCTCAAGTAATCTACCAACCTCAGCCTCCCAAAGTGCTGGGATTACAGGCGTGAGCCACCACACACAGCCTATTTTACTTCTTAATGGCCCCAAAGTACCTGAGTAGTGATGCAGGCAATTCAGATATGGCAAACGGAAGCTGTAAAGTGCCTCCTTTAAATGATGAGGTGAGGCCGGGCGCGGTGGCTCAAGCCTGTAATCCCAGCACTTTGGGAGGCCGAGATGGGCGGATCATGAGGTCGGGAGATCGAGACCATCCTGGTTAACACGGTGAAACCCCGTCTCTACTAAAAAATACAAAAAACTAGCCGGGCGAGGTGGCGGGCGCCTGTAGTCCCAGCTACTCGGGAGGCTGAGGCAGGAGAATGGCGTGAACCCGGGAGGCGGAGCTTGCAGTGAGCTGAGATCCGGCCACTGCACTCCAGCCTGGGTGACAGAGCGAGACTCCATCTCAAAAAAAAAAAAAAAAAAAAAAAATGATGAGGTGAAAGTTCTCAAATTAAGGGGAAAAAAAAATGTATGCTGGGATTACTAAGATCTACAGTAAGAACAAACTCATCCATGAAACTTTGAAGAAAGAAAAATAAATTCTTGCTAGTTTTGCTGTTGCGTCTCAAACTGCAAAAGTGCCTGATGGTGCTTAGTTAAGATGGAAAAGGGATCCAAGGCAAGTATGTATAGGATTCCGCACTATCTACAGTTTCAGGCAGCCACTAGGGGACTTAGAAGGTATCCCCCACAGATAATAGGGGACTGCTGTACCAGGAGTAAAACAGGATATCACTAACGACTACAGACATTGAAAAGATAGTAAGAGAATACGACAAACAACTCCACACACATGAATTTGACAATTTAAATGACATGGACTAATTCCTCAAAAAACACAAATTACCACAACTTGACATAAAATCGATCATTTGAATAGCCCTATAACTATTAAATAAATTGAATTTATAATTTTAAAACTCCCAAAAATGAAGTCTCCAGGCTCAAATGGTTACACTGGAGACTTCTACCAAACGCTTAAAGAATTAACACCAGTTCTGCACAGTCTGTTCCAGAAAGTGGAAGAGGAGGGAGCCTCCTGATTCATTTTATGAAGCCAGTTATCTCAGTCAGTTTGAGCTGCCATAACGAAATGCCTTAGACTGGGTAATTCATAAACAGCAGACATTTTCTTACCGCTGAGTTAAATATAGATATAGATATATATTTTTTCTACATATAGAGGCCAGAAGTCCAAGATGAAGGCAGATCCTGTGTCTGGTGAGGGCTGCTCTCTGCTTCCAAGGTGGAGCCTTCTCGCTGTGTCCTCACATGGCAGAAGAGGCAAATGCAGTGTCCTCATATGGCAGATGGGCAAAAAGGGGCCAGGCTAGCTCCCCCCAGCCCTTTTATAAGGGCACTAATCCCATCCGTGAGGGTGGAACCTCATGGCCTAATCGCCTCCTACAGACCCCGTCTGTTAGTTAACACTGTTGCATTAGGGATTATGTTTCAACATGAATTTTTCAGGGACACAAACATCCAAACCATGGCGCCAGTATTACTCTGATACTAAAACCAAAGACAGTACCAAAAAAAGAAAATATAAACCAATATCCCTCAGGAATATAGATACAAGAATCCTTAACAAAATAAGCAAATAGAGTTCAGCAATATATAAAAATAATTATACGTCATGACTAAGTGGGTTCATTCCAAGGATGCGAAGCTGTTCAATATTTGAAATTCAATCAGTGTAACTCACTATACTAAACAGCTAAAGCAGCAAAGACACATGATTATATTAATCAATGCAGAAAAAGGATTTGACAAATTTCTACACGCATTTACAGTAAAAACTCTCAGACACTAGTAATAGAAAGGAATTTATCAGCATGACAAGTTGCATCTACAGAAACGCTTCTGCAAACATCATATTTAACAGTGGAAGATTCAATGCTTTCCTCCTAAGACCAGTAACAAGGAAAGGATGTTCACTCTTCCCCACTCTTAGTCATCATAGTAATGGAAGATCTAGTTAGTGCAATAAGGTAAGAACAGGAAATAACACACAAATCAGAAAGAAAAATTAACGCTGTCCCTATTCGCAGATCATGAGGGAAAAAAATCCCAAGGAATCTATAAAAACTCCTAGAACTAATAAGGGATTCAGCAAGGTTGCAGAATACAAGACGCACATGGAGAAATCAACCGTGTTTCTACGTATGAGCAATGAATATGCGCACACTGAAACCAAAACTATAATACCATTTACAATCACTCACACACGAAAACGTAGGTGGAAATCTAACAAAACATGCACAGGACGTGGATGCTAAAAATTAATGCTGATGAAAGAAATCAAGGAAGATGTAGATAAATGGAGACATAAAATGTTCACGAACGGGAAGACTGCGTAGCAAAGGTATTAATTCTCCTCCCAGAATTTAAGTACAGGTTTAATGCAATTCCTACCCAACTCCCAGCAAGACTCTTTGTAAGACAGAGATGAGATTCTCCTAAAATTTGTATGGGAAGGCAAAGGAACTAGAATTGCTAAAACAATCTTGAAAAGGATTCATGGGAGGAATGAGTCTGCTTGATGTTAAGGCTGATATTATAGAGCTACAATCATTAAGACAGCACAGTATTAGGGGAGGGATGGACACATGGTCAATGGGACAGAACAGAGAACCCAGAAAGAGACCCACACAAGTATATCAGGTGATTTTTGACCAAAAAAAAAAAACCTCAATGGAGGAAAGCTAGCCCTCCAACAAACAGTGCTGGAGCGTCCAGGCATCCACAGTCCACAGACCAACACATGAGCCCCAGCCCAAGCCTCACACCTTACACAAATAATTAGCTCAGCATGGATCACAGACTAAAATGTAAAATGTAAACCTATACAACTTTTAGCAGGGAAAAGCAAGAGATAATCCTCAGAATATAGGGCTAGATAAAGAGTTTCTTATTCCAAATATGCCACTATTATATGACCCAGCCAATGCATTCTTGGGCAGTTAGTTATTCTAGAGAAATGAAGACTCATGTATTTATACATCATTTGAAGTGAGTTTCACACAGAAGCAAAAGCCCTTACGCAAATATCATAGAGCTATGGTCATTAAGACAGCACAGTATTAGGGCAGGGATGGACGCATGCAACAATGGGACAGAACAGAGAACCCAGAAAGAGACCCACACAAATACACCAGGTGTAGAACAGGTTATTATCATCTGGGTGTAGAACAGGTTACCATCAACCATAGTTGTGAAATTTCACTTCATTTTCTGTCTAGGTCTTTATTTGGCTTCTTATGAAAGTGAGAGCCCAGAGAACCAAACAGAAAAAGAGAGATGGAAATCTCTAAGGTGAGTCTTTGTGCGGAGATGGGGCCTGGGGGCTGCTTGGGACCAGGACAGGGCCGAGGGGCTTCAGAGATACCCGGGTCATCAGCCTCCTGGGAGCCTGAGCAGCCCACAGTGGGGTGGGGCGGGATCAAGCCATGGTCGTAGGATGAGGAGAGGAGGCTGAGCCTGTGACCCTCCCCTCCATAGCTGGTGGCTGCCTCTCTGGGCAGTCAAGATGCATGTCCCAGGGACAGGGACTCCCAGTCTATATTTTTATGCCAGACAGTAGGACACACGCCCCACCTCCTTCTTGCTCAGCGTGTTAACACGTCCGAGTGGCGGTCGGAAATGATCCATAGCAGTGGACTTCGAGGACTGGCCACAGGGATTTGCAGAACATCCCTTGGGGGCAGGAGGCCGGCTCTCCTCAGCGCACTGAGAAGATGGCTGTGCTGGAGAGCCATCTCACTGGGGTGGGGAGCTCCAGGCTCTCACCGCTGCCCGACATGCTTAAATCTGCAGATCTTCTATTTTGGGGAAGACATGAAAGCGCTGAGCTGAGGGAGGAGGAAGAGATGGAGCCCGCAGAAGCCGTCCACAGCCCTGCCTCGGATGGCCCAGCGGGCAGAGGCAGGGGAGCGCCTCACTACTTTGCAAATGCCGACCCCGTGGCCTGCTGCCCCTCGCAGTGGCCATACGGGCACAGGAGACCTTTTGTGGGACTTCAGCCCTGGCAGGACCCAGGGCCTCCAGACGTGTGGGTGGCACATGCCTTGGGGACATCCTGCCTTCAGGACCGTGGGGCCTGGTCAGTCTGTCCATCCTCGGCAAGGACACAACACTGCCGCAGAGGGTGGGGCCACTGCAAGCTCGAGACCTTGGTGACATGTGCCACTTTGGCCACCACCCACAGTCTGTCACCAGGTGGCTTGGGAACTTCTGGAACCACAGCAGGCATCACGGTGCGAAGTGAGATCCCCACGCCAGCCCCGAGCCCACCAGCGGCCACTGCCATTCCGCCCATGGTCCCTCACCCTGCCCTGCCGACGAGCTTGTCTCTGCAGCCCAGGTACCCGCTTCCTGGACGCTGCTGGCCCCAGGAGATAGCTTTCTGGTAACAGCTGTGGAACGGGTCAGCAGGACAAACTGGACACCCGGAGTCACAGTGTGTACACGGCAGTCCCGCCACCCAGCCCCTTGTAAACTCTAGTCGCTATAAACACACCCATACACCCTGGCCTATCCGTGTCCACCCCATGTCTCTGACCCGCCGGCCTGAGATGACCTTTGGCCAGGATGCCTGGCAGGTTTTCAACTCAGCCCGGGGAATGTTGTAGCCACAGTTCCAGGCATGGGACCGGGAAACCGTTTCCCATCCAGGGACCCGTGTCGTGCTCACAGAGCCTGGTGCACGGTGGATGCTCAGCTAACCTTTGGGGAGGGATACCCAGAGCCTTGCCTGTGCCTGGTTCCTCTTGTCCAGAGCAGGGCATGAGGAAGCCAGTAAAACCCCTCGGCCCACCAGCAGGCCCCTCCCACAGCCCCACCCAGTCTGTTTCCAGCCCCTCACAAACTGAGCCAGCAAGCAGTGCGCTGGGGAGCAGCTGAGACCCCACCTGACACGTGACAAGGTCATTTAGTCAGGGAGTGCAATTTGCACCCCCTTTCCTGGTCAGGGCCTGCTGGGGGTGCGGATGGGTTGGGGAGGGAGCGCTGGGGTGCACTGACTGACCCACCCTGGCTCTCTCTAGGCCATGTCAGGCCCCTCCGCGGTGGGGTCCCACTCAGGATCAGACTTGGCTGTCCTAGACTTGGTTCCAATCTGGGGAACAGGCAGAGACAGGGCCACCAGCAGCCCCGGTGCCTCAGCCAACTCGGGGACTCTGCCTGGTGAGCCAGGACCGCAGCAAGGCCCAGAAGGGCCCGGCAGAGGCCCAGGGCCTGCACACCAGGGTCTGCACATCAGGGCCTGCACATCAGGGCCTGCACATCAGGGCCGAGCAGAATCTGCCCTGCACCCCCCAGCCCACCCCTTCCATCTGAGACCCCAGGGCGGGCAAGTAATGTACAGAGGTGGGGGCAGGGCTCCCATAGGGCCCGGGCAGAGCCCTGGAGGCCAAACCCCAAGAGTTTGGGGGGGTTCCAGGAGCTGGTTAGAGCCACCTTCTCACCCTCATCCCTACCTGACACCCGCAGTCCCTGGCACCCCTTGGGCAACATGAGAAAAGCCCACTGCAGAGGTCAGCGGGGACCGTCCCTGCCTCCTGGCTGCACCAGTATGCTGTTCCCACTGCCTGACATGCTGTTCCCCACCTTGTCGATCCAGTCAGAGCTGCAGCCTCAGGTGCAGGGCCCATCTCCCAGAAGCCATTCCTGACAGCAGCCCCCCAGTGGCCCAGCGCAGGATGGGTATCAGGACGGCCAGGTGAAGCTGGGTGCCCCGAGGCTCAGCCCAGCAGGGGAGGCTCTGGGGCAGGAGGGAAGGAGGCAGCCCACAGCCAGCCCCATGGAGAAGGCAGGTCTGGGGGCTCAGGCTGAGGACATTTGTGCCTCAGGATCCTCCAAGGGGCCTTCAACCTGGCTCTGCACCCCTCTGAGCAGCTGCTGGGTGCCAGGCCCTGGTGCAGCCAGAGGGCATGAGCTCCCTCAGAGGACCCGCCCAGACCCGGTGTTCCTTCTCCATGTGCAGCCTCGGAGCCCAGGGAGGCCTTGCCCACAGCCACACAGTCTGCGCCTTGGCTCATGGCCCTTCCCTGCAGAGGCGTCTTTGTTCTCCTGTAGTCCTGGCTCCAGTGTCATGGCCAGCCAGATGGGACGGCCCCCAGGGGCTCCACAGGGCAGGGCCTGTGCCTGTGGGGCAGGTGTCAGCAGCGCAGGTGGTGCCCAGGACTAATGCCTGTGAGCGCAGCGTGGCACCAGGTGATGCGAACCCCTAACACCACTGAGTCGAACGCAGGCACGAGGCGGGGCCTGGCCATGGGCTCTCCTTCACTACCTAGGCTTCTCCAGGGAGGGAGCCAGGGTGGGGTGGAGCCTGCAGACCGGAAGATTCTTCCCTGACTGGGGCTTGCCTCAGAGGCCCTGGGCCTGGCTGGGGTTCCAAATGGATTCATTCTCACATGGGGGACCCGTGGGTTCTCTGAAACCCCTGCCCCCCATCACTGCATCACTGGGGACTGCCCTCCACCCCAAGCAGTTCCTTGGGAAATGGTGTCTTGGTTCTGGCTGCTGGAACAGAATACCAGAGGCTGGGTAATTTATAAACAACGGGAATGCATTGCTTACAACTCTGGGGGTTGGGAAGTCCAAAATCAAGGCACCAGCAGTTCAGTGTCTGGCCCCTCACAGGTGGTGCCATCTGCGTGCCCTCACACGGAAGGGGTGTGCAGCTGCCTCCAGCCCCTTTTATGAGGGCACTAAGCCCATTCACAAGGCCAGCACCCCCATGACTTAACCACTCCCCAAAAGACCCCACCTCTTAATACCCTCACACTGGGGGTTCCGTTTCAACATGGCAATTGGGGAGGTTACCAACATTAGACCACATCAGGCATCTCCATCGTGGCCAGCACCTTAGCCTGGGAACCCAGCCACATCCAGCCCTCTGCAAAACCCATGCAGGCCCCCAGAGCAGAACCCCAGATAATCTCAAAGGTGTGAGTAGGGCTGTCCCAGGGACTGTCATGGTCCCCTTCCCTAACAACTCAGGGACAGATAAACAAATGCTGACATAGCCCCTCCTCCTTCAGATCCCTCAGGCAGGCATCAGACCTCAGGCCTCTGCGTCTCCCAACCCTGCAGGGTTCCTGAGTGGTTCTCCAGGAGGGGCAACCCCCTCAGCCCTTGGAAGTACCCCGTGCACCCGCAGCACCCTCCAAGCAATGCCCTCCCCAGTTTCTAGCTCCCGATCACTGACTCACTCACCCATGGGTCAAAGAGGTGAGCAGCTGGGATCTCAGTCAAGAGCACCAGTTGGGATGTGTCTCAGCTGAAGGCTCATACTTCATACCTGGAAACTCAAACGCTTCCCCATGACACCGAGCCTCAGGCCAGCGCTTCACCTGCAGCCTAACAAACCCCGCCAGGTAGGTGCTGTCATCATGCCCCTTGGCAAGTCGGGAACAGAGGCTCAGAAAGGCTAAGCAACTGCTCATGGACAACAGCATGGAGAGGGGGGGCATGCAGGGTCTGTCGCCTCCACAGCTCTGCTTCTAACCATGGTGTGGAGCAGAGGGGCTTCTGCCACCACCTGGGCTTCCCACAGTCACACGGTGACATGTGTCTTTCCTCTGCTCCTGCCTGCTCCTCTTTTGCAGGTCCCTGAGCCCCCTGGTGTCCCCTGATGTTTCAGGAGGACCCTGCACTGTCCCATTCATGCTCAAGACAAAAATCTGCCTCGGCCCAGCTCCCCTCTTGCACCTGCCCTGGCCCTCCGCGGGCCCTGCTGGGTGAAGCCATGCCTCATACCCAGCCATAGAGAAAAGCAGGCCTCACTCCCTGTCACGCCACCCTCCATCCCCAGGCACCCAGGCTGCGTGGCTCATGGCCTGCTGCACAGAATCTTCAGTGAAAAGGGCCCCATTTTCACTCCCCAGGACTCAGGTTGGGGTCCTGGGGCCCTAGGCCAGGAGATGGATCCAGTAGGGAAATGTCAAAAGGCATGATGAGAGGCCCCTCAACCACAGCGGGGCCCTGGCCTGTGGCTGGGTGGGGTGCCTGACACCGTCGTCTTCAGCATCCCACCCTGCGCCTCCAGGCAGGACCGGAGAGATGGGAAGGTTAAGTGGAATGAAGGGATCTAGGGCATAAGCTGTCCCCACTACAGCCCAACAGACCGTTACCCAGTGGGCAAGCTGAGAGCAGTTCAGCAAAGGAGGAGACAGAAATCCCACGCGTCAGGGCAGAGAGCAATGGCAGGAAAGAGCGGCAGAGGCCAGCAGTAAAGATCCCCACGGGACAGACCAAGGAGCTTGAAGTTTACCCCAAAGGCTCTAGGGGAGCCAGTGAAGAGTTTCAGGGGTGGCAGTAACATGGTCAGTTTTAGAAAGATCTCTGATCGCTTTTGACCCAACACTTCCACTTTTACAACCTAAACTAAGCGAAAAAATCTGAGATCAGCACATTATTTGCATAACAGAGACGTCACAAATGGCCTCCACAGTCCTGCTCCTGTGCCAGCATGTGGATTTGCTCGTCAGCCCAGCCCAGCCCTCGGAAAGCCCAGCTGAAGGCCCCTAACCAGCAGTTCAAATTCTCTGAAAGAAGACCACATTGATATGCCATTTTTACCTCTTAGATTGACAGAAAAATAGTAATGTTTTGAAGCACAGCTGGGGAAACAAGCACTTGTGATTGCTGTTCGGAGTGTAAATTGAGGCTCTCCCATGGGGGTGGATTTGGTGGTTGCCATCAAAATTACAGGCCGGGCGTGGTGGCTCACGCCTGTAATCCCAGCACCTTGGGAGGCTGAGGTGGGTGGATCACCTGAGGTTTGGAGTTCAAGACCAGCCTGGCCAACATGGTGAAACCCCATTTCTACTAAAAATACAAAAAATTAGCCAGGTGTGGTGGCAGGAGCCTGTAATCCCAGCTATTCAGGAGGCTGAGGCAGGAGAATCACTTGAACCCTGGGGGCAGAGGTTACAGTGAGCCGAGATCGTGCCATTGCACTCCAGCCTGGGCAACAAGAGCTAAACTCCATCTCAGAAAATAAAAAAATAAAAAATAAAAAAATAAAAATGACAAACATGTGGATGCTGTGACATGGGAATGTCTCTTCTACGAAGTGATCTTCCTTCACCCTTACACACCTTCAAATGAAGTCTGCATACAGCTGTTCGTCGCAGCAGTGTTTGACAGCAAAAGATTGGAAACAGCCCATGTCCATAAATAGGAAGCCGGGAAAATACATCCCCGTGTGCCTCCCCATGGAACACTCCGCAGCTGTAATAAGAATGCTTCATGTACGGACGTGGAAAGGCACCCTCACCCCACAATGGACAGACCAGCCCACCAGCGTGCTTCAGTGGTCCCACAAATCCTTGCCAACACCTAGTGTCAGTGTCAGGATTATGTTCCTGCAGCGAGATGTATGCCACCAAAATGAGGAAATAAACCAAGAAAGATGATGTGGGTCAGCAGTCACAAGACCCAGCGCAGGGAGAGAACAGGAAGTCCTGGGAGACAGCCTCTGTTCAGCACCAGCAGATGAGAGCCAGTGGGAGGACAGGGCTCCAGGAGAAGCCCAAACGGACAGAGAGCTGGCAGGCGTGACTGTCCTGATCCTTACCACAGAGTGCCTCTGGGGAACAGAAAATATGAAAGGAAGGGGAGTGGGAATGGTAGCTTCTGCTAAAAGCCTTCTTACACTAAATTATTGTTAAGTACTACTTTGATTTTTTTAGTTGATTTTAAGCTGGGCATGGTGGCTGATGCCTGGAATCCCAGCACTAAGGGAGGCAGGAGGATAACTTGATGTCCATCGTTCAAGACCAGCCTGGGCAACACAGTGAGACCGTGTCTCTACAAACAATTTAAAACTTAGCCAGGAGTAGTGGCGCACACCTGTAGTCCCAGCTACGTGGGAGGCCGAGGTGGGGGGATAGCTTGAGCCCAGGAGTTCAAGCCTGCAGTGAGCTATAATTGAACCACTGTGCTCCAGCCTGAGTGACAGAATGAGACCCTGTCTCCCATCCCCCCAGAAAAACACTTTACAACCAAAAAGTGCAGTAAATCACTGTAGGGGGTAGGGTAGAGTTCCCAAATCTGAGAGGGCCTATAGCCTAGCAAGAGAGCTCTGCACCCAGAGAAATGAGCAGGAAAATGGGCAAGGGGAGGACACAGACAGCAAAAGGTGGTTCTCTCTCCAATGTGATGTTCCTCCAAAATAATAGCATCCCAGACACACACAGCTACCAGAGGAGGAAACGCCCTGGGGCCCAGGCCCAGGGAGGGAGAGCCGGGGAGCTCCTCAGGGCAGTGGGGATGAAGGGTATCTGCCCAGCATCAGGAGTAGGAATCTCAAAGGGCAGGCAGAGGAGAGGAGCCGAGGGAGCCCTATGGACCCCCTTCCTAGCAAAACGAGTACAAGGGGCAAAAATGATTCTTTTAAGTCTCCGGAAATTGTCTTTTTTTTTTTTTTTTCTTGAGACAGAGTCTCGCTCTGTTGCCCAGGGTGGAGTGCAGTAGCGCTATCTTGGCTTACTGCAACCTCCACCTCCTGGGTTCCAGCAATAATTCTCCTGCCTCAGCCTCCTGAGTAGCTGGGATTACAGGCATGCACCACCACGCCCGGCTATATTTTTTTTGTATTTTTAGTAGTCGGGGTTTTGTATTTTTAGTAGACGGGGTTTCACCACGTTGGTCAGGCTGATCTCGAACTCCTGACCTCGTGATCTGCCTGCCTTGGCCTCCCAAATGCTGGGATTACAGGCGTGAGCCACCACGCCTGGCCCGGATATTGTCTTAAAAGCATAAACCGAATGAAGAAAAACTGATTCAAGAAAAACCTACTGAAGCTTGGTAAGAACAGTGAGCACGATGACATTTAAACTATCACCACTTCCTCACTCGTCACTCTCAGCTCAGAGTGACAGACGCTCTGTGCCAGGTGGGAGCAGCAAACACAGAGCTCCCAGGCGAGGCCACCAGACCTCCACGGGACGGGCGGCTGCCAGTGTCTGTGCCCGCACCGCCCAGCTCTGTGTCCGAAGCTAAATCCTGAGCGAGCACAGCGGAGAGGTCAGGGCCCTCCTCCAGCCAGCCCCTCCATTGCAGAGTGGAGACTCTGCTCTAGGCGCTTCGGTCTGAGAACACCGAGGCAGGCTGGCTCCAGCTCACTCAGGGTGGAAATTCCACGCTGGGAGAGGTAAGCCAGGAAGATCAGAGGCTACAGTCCCCACCCAATCCACTCATCAGGCAAGGGTGTCACTCTGAGAAAGTGGGCCGTTGTCCCTACCACCCACAGTGAAGCAGTGACTGAGGAATTTTGCCCAGGAGAGGAGAGGCAAGGCATAGAGCAGACAGCGTCTAAGCTCTCCCCAAAGGAATTGCCTTTATTTGAACACAGTGTAGGTAAGTTCAAGGCTAAGGGCACTCAAAAAACAATAGAGAGGCTAGGTGCGGAGGCCCTTGCCTGTAATCTTAGCACTTTAGGAGGCCGAGGTGGGTGGATCACCTGAGCTCAGAAGTTTGAGGCCAGCCTGGCCAAGATGGTGAAACCCCATCTTTACCAAAACTATAAAAAATTAGCCTGGTATGGTGGCACAAGCCTGTAATCCCAGCTACTTGGGAGGCTGAGGCAGGAGAATCGTTTGAACCCAGGAGGCGGAGATTGCAGTGAGCCAAGACTGTGCCACTGCCCTCCAGCCTGGGCGACAGAGCTGGAGTGTCTAAAAACAAAACAAAAACAATAGAGAGCGTGTTGGTAAGCGATTAATAGATAACTAGCAGCTTCAACAGAGCAACCAGCTAAACCATAAGCCAGCCAATTTACCAGATAGAACCATGGAGAAAAGCAGCTACAAAGAGCCCTCCTGGGGTCAGAATGAACCTCAAAGACTGGCCTGGAAAACTGCCCCTGCAGAGGCGCCTGCATTTAATTGAATCAAACTGTGGCGAAATGTACGTCCCGGGACATTGTCATAACAGTAGAACAATCATCCAGCAATTGGTGGCGCCTAACAGCTGGTGCGAGACCAACAAAGGCAGTTAACAGAATTATGAGGGGAAGGGCCAGCCAAAGAGAGCCCTGCTAAAGCCACCGCCACCCCAGGATGACTGTGTGCACGCCCAAGCTTCCCTCTGAGGAGCGACAGCAGAGGCATCACCTTGCAAGTGAAACAGACCGCATTAAAATAGCCCAGTTAAGTCTCATGCTTTTCCCTGACACGTGACCTGCACCTGAGGCCTTTGCTCTCGATTTTTTGCCAATTGGCCAGTAAAACTTTATTTGCCAAAACAGGCAGCCAGCCTGTGGGCAGTAGCTTCTGATTTAATTTTTTAAAACACTGCCTTGTTTATCCTGATTCCCTCCCGCGCCTTGGCATCCCTGGGAACGCTTACTTGAGTAAGCATCTCAAATTGTTTACTTGAGAGGTCACAAGGGTCCGGGGGCGGTGGCTCACACCTGTAATCCCAGCACTTTGGGAGGCCGAGGCGGGGGTATCGTTTGCGGTCAGGAGTTCGAGACCAGCCTGGCCAACACGGTGAAACCCCGTTTCTACTAAAAATACAAAAACTAGCCGGGCGTGGTGGCGGGCGCCTGTAATCCCAGCTACTCGGGAGGCTGAGGCAGGAGAATGGCTTGAACCCGGGAGGCGGAGGTTGCGGTGAGCCAAGATCGCGCCACTGCACTCCGGACACAGCGAGACTCTGTCTCAAAAAAAAAAAAAAAAAGAGGCCGAGGCTCCAGCCGGCCCGCGCCGAACCGCCAGGGGGCGCCCCCGCTCCGGCACGGCCCACCCAGCCCGGCAGGAGTCCGCGGCCCCGGGGTCCCTGAAGCCGCGCCGGGCGTCGCGATGGCCGGGCCTCAGACTGGACCCTCACCCTCCTCTGGCGGCAGCCGCCCTCCCCACGCCTGCCCCATCCACTGCCACCAACCTGTGTCCGTTTCTCCCCCAGACGCCCTGGGATCTGTTCCTCCTCCGCTCCCGGAGCCCTCCCCGGGTCTGGCCTCCGCGGCTCCCGCCGCCCGGGGTTTTCCTCACGTTGTGATGTGAGGCCGGCCTCGCAGCGTGGAGGCCTGACCTGAAATCAGAGCTGACGACTGTTCCTTCCCGCCGCGGGTTCCCGCCGCCGCCGGACGAGCCTCCCGGGAGCCGGTGACGAGCTGCCCGGAGCGCCCTGGCGGCCCCTGCGGGGACGTGGCTGAGGACGCGCCTCTCACCTCCCGCGCCGGAAGCCGGAGGAGCAGAAAACGCAGCCATCGAGGTGAGTGATATTTTAATGCCATGTTTTTGAAAGGTAAAGTTAATGAAAACGTCCAAGAACAAAATAACAACATTTTAAATAAAGACAGGATTTTGTTTGTTTTTGACGGAGTCTCTCCCTGTCGCCCAGGCTGGAGCGCAGCGGCGCGATCTCGGCTCAGCGCGACCCCCGCCCCCCGGGTTCCCGCCGTTCTCCCGCCTCAGCCTCCCGGGTAGCTGGGACCACAGGCGCCGCCACCACGTTCGGCTCCTTTTTTGTATCTTTAGCCACCACGCCCGGCCGGTTTGGGTTTTTCTTTTGGCCTCAGGCTCCAGTCCTCTGACTGACCCTGTCTTTGACTTTTTAAAATGTATGAAAATATTATTTATGCTGACTGAGATTTTGGGGACCCGTCTCCAATTTTGCACCTGAGGCAGCTCCCTCACTCCCTCCATGCTAGTCCCAGCCCCAGCAGAGAAGTCAATAAACAAGTAATAGGTGGACACGGTGGCTCACGCCTGTAATCCCAGCACTTTGGGAAGCCAAGGTGGGCGGATCAGCTGAGGTCGGGAGTTCAAGACCAGCCTGGCCAATGTGGTGAAACCCCTTCTCTACTAAAAATACAAAAATTAGCCGAGCGTGGTGGCACATGCCTGTAATCTCAGCTACTTGGGAGGCTGAGGCAGGAAAATCACCTGAACCCAGGAGGCGGAGGTTGCAGTGAGCCGAGATCGTGCCATTGCACCCCCAGTCTGGGCAACAAGAGTGAAACTCCCCCTCAAAAAAAAAAAATCAGGCCGGGTGTGGTGGCTCATGCCTGTAATTCCAGCACTTTGGGAAGCTGAAGCAGGAGGATCACTTGAGGTCAGGAGTTTAACGCCAGCCTGGCCAACATGGTGAAATCCCATCTCTACAAAAAATATAAAAATTAGCTGGGTGTGGTGGCAGCTGCCTGTAATCCCAGCTACTTGGGAGGCTGAGGCAGGAGAATCACTTGAACCTGTCGTAGTTTGCAGTGAGCTGAGATAGGGCCCTGCACTCCAGCCTGGCGACAGAGCAAGACTCTGTCTCAAAAAAAAAAAAAAGTAATAATTTCAGAAGGTGATAAGATCTAGAGAGAATTAAACACGACCATGTGACCCAGCAATTCCACTCTCCTAGGTATTCCATTCTAAAAGAAATGATAACACACAGTCACACAAAAACTTGCACAGAAATGTAATTAGCAACACCGTTCACAATAGCCAAGGAGAGAGGAAGAAACAAAATGTACTTCAATGGATGAATGGCTACACAAAATGTGGCTGTGATCTCATCAAATATACATTTGATCTTCATCTGGGCTTCCTGGCCTAAAACTGCTAGAATCCTTGGAATCTCCACAGTGGTGGCTTTCATGTGCTAAAGAGGTGGGTGAAGGCGGGCAGCCCCCAGGTAGCTCCAGGATGGGGCTGGTCACCAGAAAGACCCAGGCAGGACTAGAGGCCTGGGACTTCCAGCCTCACCCCCCAGCCTCCAGGGAGGGGAGAGGGGCTGAAGGTTAAGTTGTTCACCCATGGCCAGTGATTTAACCAGCCATGCCCATGTAATGAAGCCTCTGTATAACCTCCAGGATAGCTGAACACATGGAGGTTCCTGGAGGGCGGCGTGCCCAGGGAGGGCACAGAACCTTCGTGCCCCTTTCCCCATGCCTTGCCCATGCATCTCTTCATCTATATCCTTTGTAATACCCTTTATAATAAACCAGCAAGTATAAGTGTGTCCCTGAGTTCTGTGAGCCGCTCTAGCCAATTAATTGAACACAAGGAGGGTGTCTTGGGAACCCCAACTTAAAGCCGGTCCGTCAGAAGTTCCTGAGGCCCTGACTTGAGAGTGGCATCAGAAGTGGGGGCAGTCTTGGGGACTGAGCCCCACCCTGTGGGCTCTGACACTATCTCCAGGTAGATAGTATCAGAATTGCATTAAAGGCCAGCAGCTGGACCTGATTGCCTTCTTGCTGGTGTGGGGCAAACCCCCACACATTTGGTCACAGAAGGTACCTGTAATCCCAGGCACCTGTGGGGAAAACCCCCTCCTGTGTTGATTTGTGTGACAGCCAAGGGAACACAGCTGAGTTCTTCCACATTCAGTAGCATACTCATACGATGGAATATTACTCAGTATTAAAAGGAATGAAGTTCTGATACATGCTCCAACATGGATGAACCTATAAGCACTGTGCTGAGGGAAAAAAGCCAGACACAGAAGGTTACACACTGTATGATTCCGTTTATAGGAAATATCTAGAACAGGTAACTCCACAGAGACAATGATTGCCAGGGATTGGGGTAGTGGGGTGGTGATAAGTGACTGCTAATGGTATGAGGCTCCTTTGTGGAGGGGGGACATGTAATGGAATTCAGTAGTGGTGATGGTTGTACAACCTCGTGAACATAGTCAAAACCACTGATTGTACACTTTAAGATGATACATTTTACGTTATGTGAATGATATCTCCATTTAAAGAACAAGGGGCTGGGCCTGGTGGCTCACACCTGTAATCCCAGCACTTCTAGAGGCTGAGGTGGGAAGATTGCTTGAGCCCAGGAGGTCAAGGCTGCAGTGGCTATGATTGCACTCCTGCACTCTGGCATGGGTAACAGAGTGAGACCCTGTCTCTAAATAAATAATTTAATTTAATTTAAGAATAAAGAAAGGGAAGCAGAGTGATAAATAAGCACAGGGAGGTGAGGTATTAGGGAGACCAGGACAGCCTCTCTGAAGTAGAAACACTTGATGGGACCTCAGTGACAAGAAGGAGTCAGCTGGGGATTAAGCTGGGGGGAGAACATTCTGTGCAAAGGCACCACATATGCAAAGGCCCTGAGGCAGAAACAACCTCCTGGAGTCATTCATTCACTCTGCAAATCCTTCTTCAAGCCTAGTTGGAGCTAGGCACTGTTCCCTGGGGATGGAGCAGCGAGCAAAATGTCCTAGAATATAATGTAGGTGTCTGACAGCAGCTAAGGACTACAGAGGAGAGTGAAGTAGGGAGGGGAGAGAGTGTGGAGTGGGAGGGGCCGTGTTATATAAGGGGCCAGGGAAAGCCTAACTAAGAAAGTGACATTTGAGCAAAGGGCAAGTGGGATGATGGGGAACGACCGCAGAGAGGAGGAGAGACCCACATAGACAGGACCTGAGGCCATGGCATGACCGGGGAACTGGACTGCGAGGGTAGGGGCAGCCTCAGGAGGAGGCTGCCAGCAAACAAGTGACCTGGCTGGGTTCCTTTTCAAAGATCAAGATCGCTTTGGAGGCTGTGGGCTCCGTGCCCCCAACCCCCATGTTAGCAGAGCCGGATAGCAAACTTTATGTAGCAGATGGGGCTATTCTTTAAAGAAACCACGGCATCACGAAGTCCCAGATATGACACTGGTTGCGGCTGATCAGCTCTGGATGTCCAGGTGCCCCGGGGCCCTTTAGTGGAGCCTGTCCAGAGTTCCCAAATCCAGCAGCCGAAGGAGCTATCACTGCAGCACTTTGGCAGAGACAAGGTCCAGGCCCCACCCCTAGGACTCAGGCTCAGGGATCCAGTGGGCCGAGCAGCCACTTTGGTAACATGTGTCCCCTGGTAATGCTGACTCAGGTGGTCCACAGCCCTCACACTGCGAGAATGGCAGCCCGGGCTTTGCAGAGCACAGTGTTAAAGCCACTGACCAAGCAAAGGCACAAAGTGGTGGACCCAGATTCCACCCCGGGAGCCCCTTTAACCTGGCCTGCATGGTAGCTTCAATTTAGTGAATTGCCAGCAAATATTTCGAATTGGGAGCTGGAATATCACAGTCCGGATTTCTGGCTTCTCTTGAAAAGCACCATCTGCTGGCTTTGGCCGTGCCTCCTAACAGCAGTGAGACACCATCCCTGGGGGCTTCTCATGCACTCACGCGTCCCACCCGGGCTGTGCCCTGTTGTTATCTTCATTTGTTCAGGCTGCTATAACTGAATACCGTAAACGACAGAGCTTTATTGCTTACGCTTCTGGAAGCTGGGGAGGTCAAGGCGCCAGCTAAGTCAGTATCTGGTGAGGGTCCCAGCCCGGTTCATAGAAGGCACCTTCACGTGGCTGGAGGGGTGAGGGAGCTCTCTGGGCAGGGAGGGAAGAAACGGGGGGCCACTGGGGAACCCAGACAGGAGCAGAGGGAAGCAGAGAAAGCAAGGACTTGGCTCCTGGGAGTTCCTCTAGGCCCCCACTGAGAGTCACTTCTTCCAGTGACTGCTCTATCCAGCCCGGCTCTACCTGGGGACGCTAACTCAAGGCCTTTAGCAAACATATGTCTTCCACCTCTTGGCCTGGGCAGGTGTCAGGGAGGATTGCCAAGGAAGTAACATCTGTGCTGCGCCTTGGCCTGAGTGGAAGGTAAGAAGGAAGAGAGCAGGACTGTAGGGCTTTTGCAGGTGCAGGGTGGCCGGCGCACAGTGGGGGGTCACCTGACCTGTCTCTCTATCTCTCCCAGGGGCTGTTAGGGGAAGGCCGCCTGCCACAGAAGCGAGCTCTGCATCACTCCAGCAGAAAGGGAATTTCCTGAAAGGACACTGGGCACCTCACAAGGTCAAGAGGAAGGTGGGGAACCAGGCTCAGGCAGGAGCCAAGGCCCAAGGACAGCCCAGGGCCTCCCAGGAAACAACCCACCTGGTGCAGAGCTCTGCACCACACACCCGCCACCCGCCCCGGGACTCTCCGTGGCTCCACTGCGCCATGAGGAGCCTCCTGCCGAGCCCAGTCCTCGGGAGGGGAACCCCCAGGCTGCGTGCCTGCTGATCAGCTCCCAGGGTGGCAGCATGTCAGGCTGTATCTTTGATTTCAGGGACCAGAGGCCAGGGTGTCTGTGTGGCCACTGAAGGAAGAGGAGAATCCTCAGGCTGAGTGCCCCTCACCTTGCTCTGAGCTTAGCCTCAAAGAGGAGCCCTTCCTTCCCTCCCCTTTTTCTTCCCTCCTCTTCTCCCTCTCTCCTTCCCTCCTCCAAAATTAAATACTTTTCTCTAATCATATTAATAATATATTGTTATTGGCCAGGCGCAGTGGCTCACGCCTGTAATCCCAGCACTTTGGGAGGCCAAGGCAGGCGGATCACAAAGTCAGGAGATCAAGACCATCCTGGCTAACACGGTGAAACCCTGTCCGTACTAAAAATACAGAAAAAAAAAATTAGCTGGATGTGGTGGCAGGCACCTGTAGTCCCAGCTACTTGGGAGGCTGAGGCAGAAGAATGGCATGAACCCAGGAGGTGGAACTTGCAGTGAGCCAAGATTGTGCCACTGCACTCCAGCCTGGACTACAGAGTGAAACTCTGTCTCAAAAAAAAAAAAAAAAAAAAGCAGTTGGTACCATACATTTAAAGAACTAATACCAATCCTACTCAAACTATTCCAAAAAATAGAGGAGGAGGGAAAACTTCCAAACTCAGTTCCATGAGGCCAGTATTACCCTGATACTAAAACCAGACAAAGACACATCAAAAAAAGAAAACTACAGGCCAATATCCCTGATGAACATTGATGCGAAAATCCTCAACAAAATACTAGCAAACCAAATTCAGCAACACATTAAAAAGATTATTTAAGGACCGGGCACAGTGGCTCACACCTGTAATCCCAGCACTTTGGGAGGCTGAGGCAGGCAGATTGCTTGAGCCCAGGAGTTTGAGACCAGTCTGGGCAACATGGCAAAACCTCTGTCTCTACAAAAATGTTTTCAATTAGCTGGGCAATAATCACGCTGCTGCACTCAAGCATAGGTGACAGAGTGAGACCTTGTCTCAAAAAAAAAAAAAAAAAAAGATAATTCATAATGATCTTGTGGGATTCATCCTAGGGATGCAAGGATGGTTCGACATATGCAAATCAATCTATGTGATACATCCTATTAACCAAATAAAGGACAACAGCCATATGATCCTTTCAATTGATGCTGAAAAAGCATCTGATAAAATTCAACATCCCTTCTTGATTAAAAACCCTCAAAAAACTGGGTATAGGATGAACATACCTCAACATAATAAATGCCATATAGGATGGATCCACAGCTAATATCATACTGAACAGGGAAAAACCAAAAGCCTTTCCTTTAAGATCTGGAATAGGACAAGGATGCCCACTTTCACTACTGTTATTCAACGTAGTACTGGGAGCCCTAGCTAGAGTAATCAGACAAAAGAAAGAGAGGGCATCCAAATTGGAAAGGGAGAAGTCAAATTATCCTTGTTTGAAGATAATATGATATTATATTTGGAAAAACCTAAAGACTTCACCAAAATCTATTAGAATGAATGAACAAATTCAGTAAAGTTTCAGAATGTAAAATCAACATACAAAAATCAATAGCATTTCTATATGCCAGCCTCAAAAATCTGAAAAAGAAATCAAGAAAGTAATCTCATTTATAATAGCTACAAATAAAATATCTATAGATAAACGTAAAAGAAGTGAAAGATCTCTACAATGAAAACTGTAAGACATTGATGCAAGAAATTAAAGAGCACAAAAAATGGAAACATATTCCATGTTCACGGATTAGATGAAATAATATTGTTAAAATGTCCATACTACCCAAAGCAACCTACATGTTCAGTGCAATCCCTTTCAAAACACCAAAGACGTTCTTCAGAGAAATAGAAAAAAAAATTCTAAAATGTGTATGAAATCACAAAAGAGCCAGAATAGCCAAAGCCATCTTAAGCAAAAAGAACAAAACTAGAGGAATCACATCACCTGACTTCAAATTATACTACAGAACTATAGTAACCAAAACAGTATGGTACTGGTATTAAAACAGGCACATACACCAATGGAACAGAATAGAGAACCCAGAAGTAAATCTACAGAGACCTCATTTTCTACAAAGGTGCCAAGAGCACACAATGGGGAAAGGACAGTCTCTTCAATGAATGGTGCTGGGAAAACTGGATATCCATATACAGAAGAATGAAACTAGACCCCATCTCTTACCATATAAAAAAATCAAAATGAATTGAAGACTTAAATCTAAGCTCTCAAATTATAAAACTACTAAAAGAAAACATTGGGAAAACACTCCAGGAAGTTGGTCTGGGCAAAGATTTCTTGAGTAATACTCCAAAAGGACAGGTGACCAAAGCAAGAATGGTCAAATGGGATTACATCAGATTGAAAAGCTTCTGCACAGCAAAGGAAACAATCAACAAAGGAAAGAGACAACCCATAGAATGGGAGAAAATATTTGCAAACTATCTGACCAGGGATTAATAACCAAAATATACAAGGAGCTCAAAAAATTAAATAGGAAAAAAAATCTGATAATCTGATTTTTAAATGGGCAAAAGATCTGAACAGATGATTCTCGGAAGAAGACATACAAATGGCAAACAGGTATATAAAAAGATGCTAGGGCAGGACGCGGTGGCTCATGCCTGTAATCCCAGCAGTTTGGGAGGCCAAGGCAGATGGATCACTTGAGGTCAGGAGTTTGAGACCAGCCTGGCCAACATGGTGAAACCCCGTCTCTACTACAAATACAAAAAGTAGCTGGGCATGGTGACGTGCACCTGTAATCTCAGCTACTGGGGAAGCTGAGGCAGAGGAATTGCTTGAACCCAGGAAGAGGCGGGGGTTGCAGTGAGCTGAGATTGTGCTACTACCCTCCGCCCTGGGTGACCAAGCGAGACTCAAAAGAAAAATGGGCAAAGAACGAGCAAACAATTCACCTACACATCCAAAAAAAAAATTAGGGAGTCCTTAAATATATGAAAGAGTGCACATTCCCACTCACAAAAAGAGAATTGTTAATTAAAATCACACCAACATATATTTTTGATCTATCATATTGTCAACCCACTCTATTGTCAAGTTTGTGGATAAATAGGCACCCATATTAGTTGGCTCAGGCTGCCATAACAAAATACTATAAACTGGATGGCTTCAACAACAAAAAAATTATTTTCTCACAGTTCTTGAGGCTGGAAAGTCTAAGATCAAAATGCCAGCTGATTTGGTTGCTGGAGAGGGCCCCTCCAGGCTTGCAGACAGCTGCCAGATTGCTGTGTGCTCCCATGGGTGCACAGAGAGCAAGCTCTCTGGTGTCTCTTTTTATAAGAGCACTAATCCCATTAAACTGGGGCTCCACTCTCATTACTTCATGTAACCTTAATTAACTCCTAACCCTGTCTCTAAATACCATTGCCCTGGGGGTTAGAGCTTCAGCATGTAAATGTGGGAGGGACACACACATTCAGTCCGTAACAGTTCTTGTGAAGGGCCATTGGGTTATGTCTATCAAAATTTACACTGCATTGATCTTTGACCAGACCATCCTGCTGCCTACTGATACAGCGATTGCTATGGGCTGAGTTGTATCTCCTCAAAATTCATGTTGGTGTCCTAGCCCCCCGTACCTCAGGATGGTACTGTATTTGGAAATGGGGCCTTTGAAGAGGAAATTAAATTGAAACCAGGTCATTATTGTGGGCCCGAAACAATCTGCCCGGTGTCCTTCTAAGAAGAAGAGATGGAGACACAGATCCACACAGAGGGCAGACCATGTGAGGACACTGGGAAGGAGCCAGGGAGAACGGCCTCAGAATGAGAAAAATCTGCTGACACCTTGACCTTGGGCTTCTGGCCGCCAGAACTGTGAGAAAATACATTTCTGTTGTTGAAGCCGCCCAGTCTGTGGTATTTGTTAGGACAGCCCTAGAAAAATATTACAGTGGCACGCACGCAAAATTCCGCATGTAATAATTGACTCATTGCCACATCGTTCATGATAGAAAAGGGTGGTATCACTCTGAGTGCACATCTACAGGTTGCTGATGACATTAACTATGATCCATCTATCTGACAGGAGGCCATGCAGCTGTGCAGATGACGGAGGAAACACTGCGTGCTAAAAATAAAGGATGTTCACTTATGACATTAAGTTCAAAAAGTAAACGAACTGCAGGACAGACTACATAGTATACTCTCTTCTCACTTGTGTTAGAACAGAGGGAATAAGAACACATGATATTTATTTGTATTTGCATGAAAAATATAAAAAATGAAGTTTACACAGAAGCCAATGAAACTACTTACCTGTCTAGTGAGGATGATTGATTTGATCTCTGAACCATGTGAACATATGCTGGTGAATGTGTCCCATGTCGATGCTGCCCTGTGGACAAATCCTGCGTGGTTGTCTCCCATGTGGATGTACAACGTGGATATATCCCATGTGGATGTTATCCCCTGTGAATACATCTGTGTTACTGTATCCCGTGTGAAATTATCCACGTGCATGCCTCCCGTATGAATATGTCTCGTGTGGCAGCATCCGTGTGCATGTGCCCGTGTGGCTGTATCCATGTACATGCGTCCTATGTGGGTGTATCCCAAGCGAATGTTTCCGCATGGACGTGGCCCATGTGGATGTATCCCACCTGAAGCTACCACATGTGCGTGTGCTATCTGGTAGTCATTAATGCTGCTCACTGAAATTGCTGGTTTTCCTCCTCCTAGGCTCGTGGTCAGATTGCATTTCCGCGTCGCTGGAAGTCAGAAGCAGCCATGTGACTTGCATAAGTCAATGAAGTGTGAGCAGAAGTGACAGATGCCATGTTCTTTCTCCTGCCCAGAGATCAGCAATGTTCAGGCAGTCGAGGCTCTGTCGGCCAGGATCCTCAAGGGAAATTACACGGAGTAAAGCTGCCAGCACCCGGGAACAGACACGCAGTATGAGTGAGGTTGAAGCCACAGAGACCTTGGCATTGTTACCACAGCACAACCAAACTTACCCTGACTGACACAGTTATTTATTTTAAAAACTAAGATTTGAATTAGGCCAGGCATGGTGGCTCACACCTGTAATCCTAGCACTTTGGGAGGCCGAGGCGGGCAGGTCACCTGAGGTCAGGAGTTCGAGACCAGCTTAACCAACATGGTGAAACCCCATTGCTACTAAAAATACAAAAATTAGCCAGGCATGGTGGCACGTACCTATAATCTGAGCTACTCGGGAGGCTCGGGCAGGAGAATTGATTGAACCCTGGAGGCCAAGGCTGCAGTGAGCCGAGATCATGCCACGGCACTCCAGCCTGGGCGACAGAGCAGGACTCCATCTCAAAAAATAATAATAATAATAATAATAAGACTTGAATTAAAAATAAAAACACAGGAATTAGTCTGTATCCAGCCAGGGGAGAGAAGTCACAGCGTAGGGGGGTCACCTCGTCTTGCTGCACTTTGCTTTATTGCTCTTCCTAGATACTGCAATTTTCCGAGTTGAAGGTTCGTGGCTACCTTGCACTGAACAAGTCCATCAGGGCCATTTTTCCAACAGCACGTGCTCACTTCCTGTCTCTGTCACGTTTTGCTAATCCTCCCAATATTTCACGCTTTTTCCTTATTATTATATCTGTTATGGTGATCTGTGATCAGTGATGGTTCAAGTGACTATTGCACTTGCTTTGGGCACCAGGAACCGTGCCCATGTAAGACAGTGAACTGAATCCATATGGGTGTGCTCTGACTGCTCCACCCACCAGCCATTTCCTGTTTCTCTCCCTCTCCTCCAGCCTTCCTATTCTCTGAAACACAACAATATTGAAATTAGACCTATTAATAACCCTACAATGGCCTCTAGGTGTCCAAGTGAAAGGAAGCGCCATGCATCTGTCACTTTAAATCGAAAGCTAGAAATGATTAACCTAGAGAGGAAGGCTGCTGAAAGCCTTCTTTCATCTTAAAAGGTTGTTTTTCTCCTTCCAATTTGGAGAGAACTTAAAACATTTCCATGAGCCCCTAGAAGCACTCTGGGCCCTAGGCACTGTGCCTACTGCACCTGTAGACAGGTCAGCACTGCCCGGTGGGCAGGGTTAAGATGACTTGCTTGGCCAGGCTGCAGCCACCTGCTCACCTGGAGCCTAAGGAGGTGAGGTTCACCCAACCACATGAGCCGAGAGTGGGAGAGAGGGGTCCACAAGAAAAACCCAGGGTCTTTCTCCAAAGAAGGCAGGATGTGGAAAGGTCCCACGCAGGCAAACCACAGATGACCCCAGGCCCGATGCAGCTGAGGCTGAGGTTGCAGTCCTCAGCGGGTCACCCCATTCTCAGATCCACACTTTTCTGGGGCCAGGCCTGAGGCTAAGCCGCGCGGGGGTGAGAGAACTGGGAGCAGGGGGAAGGGCAGGCAGAGCACTAACCCCTAGGACCTCTTTCCCTGGAGAGGCAGCAGTTTGAGAATAAAACCCAGAGGCCTTTCTGACAATGGTGGCTGATAGCAGACCTGGCTGAAGCCATTCGTTCTTTCTTTGAGTCAACTTTCATTAAGTGTTAAAACCTTTGATCTTACTTAATGGCAAAAAGACCTGCAGACCACACAGTGCTTTGACACAGAGGGGACGAAGACACGCCACGTTGCACGGCATGTAGAGTCTCCCTGGACTTCGAATTCGATGCCTTGTCACTATGCATCCCTTACCCTTCCCTTTTAACTAATAGTTGTCATATGTGTTATATCTGTATATATGGCAGACTCCATCAAACAATGTTATCATTTTCTCCTTTAGCAGCCATTCGTATCTTTAAAGAATTTAAGAGGAGAAAAATAGTCTGGTATATTTACCTGGACATGTAGCATTTCTGCTGTTCTTTCGTTTCTGAAGTCCCAAGTTTTCCTGTGGTATCCTTGCCCTTCAGCCTGAAGAACTTCCTTTAACATTCTTTTTCTTTCTTTCTTTCTTTCTTTCTTTCTTTCTTTCTTTCTTTCTTTCTTTCTTTCTTTCTTTCTTTCTTTCTTTCTTTCTTTCTTTCTTTCTTTCTTTCTTTCGAGATGAGGTCTTTTCTTTCTTTTAGAGATGAGGTCTTGCTCTGTTGGCCAGGCTGGAGTGCAGTGGCGTGATCGTGGATCACTGCTGCCTCAAACTCCTGGGCTCAAGTGATCCTCTCACCTCAGCCTCTGCGGCAGCGGGGATTACAGAGGTGCATCACCCTGCCAGCTAATGGTTTTTATTTTTATTACTTAATTAATTTATTTATTGAAACAGGATCTCACTCTGTTACCCAGGCTGGAATGCAGTGGTACACTTATGGCTCACTGCAGCCTCGATCTCCTGGACTCAAGCCATTCTCCTGCCTCAGCCTCCCAGGAAGCTGGAACTATAGGCACATGCCCCCACACCCAATTAATTTTTTAATTTTTTGTAGAGATGGGGTCTTTCCATGTTGCTCAGGGTGGTCTTGAACTCTTGGGCTCCAGTGATCCTCCTGCCTCAATAACATTTCTTTTATAGCAGGTCTGCTGGCCACAAATGTCCTAGTTTTCCTTGATCTGGGAACATTCCTGAAGGAACGTTCATGGGATATATAGGATCCTGGGTGCTGTAGAGTCAATGTTTGCATCCCCTCAAAATCCATATGTTGAAACCTCAGCCATATTGTGATCGTATTGAGATGTGGGGCCTTTGTGGGGGTGCTAGGATCATGAAATCAGAGCCCTCCTGACTGGGATTAACATTCTTTTTTTTTCTTTTTGAGACGGAGTCTTGCTCTGTCATCCAGGCTGGAGTGCAGTGGAGTGGCGCAATCTCAGCTCATTGCAAGCTCCACCTCCCGGGTTCACACCATGATCCTGCCTCAGCCTCCCAAGTAGCTGGGACTACAGATGCCCACCACCTCGCCTGGCTAATTTTTTGTATTTTTAGTAGAGACGGGGTTTCACCATGTTAGCCAGGATGGTCTCGATCTCCTGACCTCATGATCTGCCCGCCTTGGCCTCCCAAAGTGCTGGGATTACAGGCGTAAGCCACCATGCCCAGCCAGGATTAGCATTCTTATAAAAGAGGCCCCAGAGAGCTCCCTTGTCCCTCCCACTATGTGAGGACACAGTGAGAAGCAGCTGTCTATGATGCAGAAAAGGGGCCCTCACTAGATGGCGAATCTGCCCATGCAGTAATCTTGGACTTCCCAGCCTCCAGAACTGTGAAATTCTCTGCTGTTTACAAGTCACTCAGCCATCACATTCTGTCATAACAGCCTAAATGGACTAAGACACTGGGTTAACAATTATTTCCCTTCAGCACTTGAAAGATGTTGCTCCCTGGTCTTCTGGCCTCTGGGATTTCTGGGGAGCAATCCACAGTCTGCTATTCTCCTGTATGCCATGTGTCACTCTTCTCTGGCTTCTTTCAAGATTTATTCTTCATCTTTCGTTTACATTGGCATGATTAAAATGTGTTTGAGGCCGGGCGCGGTGGCTCAAGCCTGTAATCCCAGCACTTTGGGAGGCCGAGACGGGCGGATCACGAGGTCAGGAGATCGAGACCATCCTGGCTAACACGGTGAAACCCCGTCTCTACTAAAAATACAAAAAACTAGCCGGGCGAGGTGGCGGGCGCCTGTAGTCCCAGCTACTCGGGAGGCTGAGGCAGGAGAATGGCGTAAACCTGGGAGGCGGAGCTTGCGGTGAGCTGAGATCCGGCCACTGCACTCTAACCTGGGTGACAGAGCGAGACTCCGTCTCAAAAAAAAAAAAAAAAAAAAAAAATGTGTTTGAGTGTGGTTTTCTGTAAGTTTATCCATTTGGAGATTTGCTGAGCTTCTTGAATCTGTATAAATGTTTAGTAAGCTTGGGAAATTTTCAGCCATTATTTTTTCAATGTATTGTTTTCTGCCCAGTCACCTTGTACTCTCTTTCTGAGACTCCAATAACACAAATCATCAACCTTCTCATATTGCCCCATGGCCCCTGAGGCTCTTTTTCTTTTTTCACTCTTTGTTTCTATTATTCAAATTGGATTGTTTCCACTGTTCTACCCTCAAGTCCACTCTTTCCTCTGTCATCTCCATTCAGTTACGTATCTCATCCACTGGACTTTTGATTTCAGATATTGTATTTTCCAGCTCTAAAATTTCCATTGGTTGTTTCTATTTGTGTGCTGAAAGCATTTACCTTTTCATGTTTTTTTCTAGGAATATTTGCCTTTACCTCTTGGGGCACAGTTCTTTTTTTTTTTTTTTTTTTCTCTTTGAGTCAGAGTTTTACTCTTGTTTCCCAGGCTGGAGTGCAGTGGTGTGATCTCAGCTCACTGCAACCTCCACCTCCTGGATTCAAGTGATTCTCCTGCCTCAGCCTCCCAAGTAGCTAGGATTACAGGCGTGTGGTACCACACTCGGCTAATTTTTGTGTTTTTAGTAGAGATGGGGTTTCACCATGTTGGCCAGGCTGGTCTTGAACTCCTGACCTCAGGTGATCCACCCGTCTCAGCCTCCCAAAGTGCTGAGACTACAGGTGTGAGCCATCACACCTGACTGTCATTTTTTTTTCTAGGAATGTTTGCCTTTACCTCTTGGAGCACAGTTCTAAGAGCCGCTACAATGTCTGGGTTATCTGGAGACCAGCATCTCTTGCTGGTTAACTTTTCTCTTGAGAATTGGTCACATTTTGTTGGTTATTTCAACTTCAATTAATTTTGGATTGCATCCTGGACATATTGAATATCACGCCTGAGACCCTGGGTGTTTGTTAAAATTCTCCGGACAGTGACATTTTACTGTGGTGGCTTTAGCAAGCAATCGATCCTGACTAGGTTCAGATCATACATGCTGCCTCATCTTCTATGTGTGGTAGATGCAATGCCACCTTCATTTTCAAAGACTTTGCTTGGTGGAATGTAAGGCGGCACAGCTGCCCTGGAGTTAAGTGTGACAGTTTCTTGCGATGCTAAACATGACTTACCATGTGACTCTACAATGACACTCTTGGGCATCTCTCTCAGAGACGTGAAAACTCATGTTTAACAGAAACATGTACATGAATCTTCATAGTCACTGTGTTTACCACAGCCCAAAACTGGGAACAATCCAAATATCCCTCATGGGGGGAAAAGTTAAAAGAACTCTGAAACATCCATGCAATGGAATATTACTCAGAAATAAAAAGGAACTAGCTATTGATACATGTAGCAACTTGGATGGATCTTGCAGACCTTATGCTTTGCGAGAAAAGCTAATCTTAGAAGGTAACATACTGTATGATTCCATTTACATAACTTCTCAAAATGACAAAGCTACAGGAATAGAGAACAGATTAGCACTTGCCAGAGCACAGGGAAAGGCATGGAAGTGAGTAAACTGTACAGCGGTAGCACAGGGAGTTTGTAGTGACAGGAGTGGTTCAGGGTCTTGATTGTGGTGGTTACACAAATCTATACAAAAATTGCATAGCACTATACAAACACACACACACACACATGCTTGTAAAAACTAGTGAACTCTGAATAAGGTCTGTAGTCTAGTTAATAGCATTGTGCCAATGTCAACTTCCTGGTTTTAGTATCATACTACAATGTCTTATATAATTATATAAGATATCCCCATTGGGGTTGACAATGGAGGATAAAAATGGCAAAAAAAAAAAAAAAAGAAAGAAAGAAAAAAGATATTCCCCTTGGGGGAAGCTGGGTGAAGAGTACACAGGATTTTCAGCACTATCTTCGCAACTTCCGATGAATCCATAGTTATTTAAAAGTGAAAAACTTTTTTTTTTTTTTTTTTGAGATGGAATCTCACTGTCGCCCAGGCTGGAACGCAATGGTGTGATCTCAGCTCACTGTAATCTCCGCCTTCAAGCAATTCTCCTGTCTCAGCCTCCCAAGTAGCTGGGATTACAGGTACACAACACCACGCCCAGCTAATTTTCATATTTTTAGTAGACACAGGGTTTCACCATGTTGACCAGGCTGGTCAGGAACAGCCAAATGTGAAAACCTTTTTTTTTTTTGAGACAGAGTTTTGCTCTTGTTGCCCAGGCTGGAGTACAGTGGTGAGATCTCAGTTCACTGCAACCTCCACCTCCCAGGTTCAAGCGATTCTCCTGCCTCAGCCTCCAGAGTAGCTGAGATTACAGGCTCAAGCCACCATGCTCAGCTAATTTTTGTATTTTTAGCAGAGATGGGGTTTCACCATGCTGGCCAAGCTAGTCTAGTACTCTTGATCTCAGGTGATCTGCCCACCTTGGCCTCCCAAACTGTTGGGATTACAGGCGTGAGCCACCGCACTCGGCCGTGAAAAACTTTTAAAAAGACTTTGGTATACTACTCTGGGTCTGTTCTGTGCAACTTGCAGGCAAGCCTGGGATTTGCATTCATTCATCCACGGAATTAGGGACCCCTCCTCAGCCCTCTCCTCTTGGGGTTGACCTCACACTCAGTGGCTTCTGTGGGATTCCTCTCAGAGTTTTGTGTGCTCGTGCTGCTGGCACCATAGTGCAGCTTTGAACCTCAGCTGCCCTCATTTGAAGCAGGAGAGAAAAAAAGGGAAAATAAATGAACACAAGGGCCTCCCTTCCACGCACGCTGCATGTTGCAGAAGGCCCTTTTCCAGTCCTCTGGCTAGAGAAATGGTATGTCATTATAAGATACACATTTGGTTTTCATCTGGGCTTCCTGGCCCACAACTCCTAGAATCCTTGGAATCTCCACAGTGGTGGCTTTCATGTGCTAAAGAGGTGGGTGAAGGCGGGCAGCCCCCAGGTAGCTCCAGGATGGGGCTGGTCACCAGAAAGACCCAGGCAGGACTAGAGGCCTGGGACTTCCAGCCTCACCCCCCAGCCTCCAGGGAGGGGAGAGGGGCTGAAG